CTTCAGATGCGTCGCCAGTTGACTCGCACTATTGGACAGGTCGGGTCGGCAGGTTACTGCTGCGAACAGTAGGCAGCCGAGTTGCTGTTGATACTCCTGGATTTGCTTCGCGGGGAGTTTTGCGGAGGTGTTGTTGTTGTTCCCGTAGCGGTAGGGAGTTGGGACCGTAGTCGGTGTTAGGCCGAATTTCTTCGCGACGGTGCCTGAGTACTTTCCAGCGTGTAGGTAGAACGCCGTGTCGTCTTCGACGACATTCAGTCCTAGGTACTGGGTCACTTCGTCGGACACCGTGAGTGTTAAGTCTTCTTTCAGCTCCCCTTCGAACCAGGTAGCGATGTCGGTAGTGGAGCCGATGTAGAGCAGGTCGTCGACGTAGACGATGAGTAGGACGAACTCTCTTCCCTTCTGCAGTCGGTACATCCCTTGGTCATGCGGCAGTTGTAGGAATCCGATTTTTGCGAGACGGCCGTGAAGGTGTTGCTGCCAGAGCCGCGGGGCTTGCTTGATCCCGTATAGGGATTTTGTCAGTCGGCATACTTTCGTGGGGTCGTCGATGAATCCGTGGGGTTGTTCGACGAAAATCTCAGCGTCCACAGGTGCGTATAGGAACGCATTGGCGACGTCGATTTGGCGTAGTGGTAGTGTCTTCGTGGTCGCGACGGCGAGTAGGATGCGTAATGAGGTGTGACGGGAGACTGGAGCGAAGGTTTCTGTGTAGTCAGTTCCGTATCGTTGATCGAAGCCTCGTACGACCCATCGAGCTTTGAATCGTTCGATGGAGCCGTCTGAGTTGGTCTTGATGCGGTACACCCATTTCCCCGAGAGGACGTTCTTCCCGTTGATGCTTGTTGCAGGTACCAGTTTCCATGTTTCTCGGTCTTGCAGAGCCTTTAACTCCTTTTCCATCGCTTCTTTCCATTTTGCCTTATGTTCCCCCCCCAGAGCCTGCGACAAGGTCGAGGGCTCACGCGGAGAAGGCGGCGGCAGATGCTGGACGGAGACCCAGAGGCCTAGAATCTGCAGTCCCGTGGGTGTGTGTCGAGGGGAATTTTCATTCCCGGAATAAGCTGCTTCGTCACCGTCTTCTGGGTCAGGTAAGAAGTTGGGACCAATGCGTTCTGAAACATTTGTGTCGACTGGGTGGGGTGTAATGTAACCTTGGTCAGCGAAGTGGTAAAAGGTGTCGAGGTTGTTGCTATCGAGAGGATTGTCTTCGTCGAGTGGAACAGGGACGGAACAGAATGGGAGTGGTCCGGCAGCTTCCGAGGCTTCAGGTACGTCTTCTTCTGCTGCGTCAGCTTCGGCAGCACGGTCGGCGAAGGAACGAAGTCCCGAGAAGCCGTCGGTGGGGTCTTGTGTGTTGGCAATGTTGTCCAGGTAATGCTGCAGCGTCAGGCGCTCGTAGAAAATAACATCACGTGATGCCACGGTATTTTTGTCTTGTATGTCGAGAATTTTCCACGCGTGAAAATGTTTTGCGATGCCGAGGTGTAGTCCCCACCGAGCTCGTTGTGTGAAGCGTCCTGCTCGGGCTATGTGGGGTCTGTACTGTACCATGCAGCCGAAAACTCGGAGTAATTTTGTGCTGCCCCTTTTTCTTGTCCACAACAGGTGCGGTGATGCGTTGTTGGGAAGTGATGACGAGGACAGCAGGTTGTGCAGGTGAACGGCATGTGTCATCGCGTCTGGCCACAGTGTGGTGGGCAGCCTCATCCCCAGCAGTAGTTTTCGCATCGTTGTCTGCAAGGTCCGGTTCATGCGTTCTGCTACCCCCTGCTGCTGGTGAGCATAGGGTAGAGACACCAGGCGTCGGATTCCTCTTTCCGCCAGATAGGTCCTGAAGCGTTGTGACTGGTATTCCAGTGCACCGTCTGACTGGAAGCTCTTGAGCTTGGTTCCTGATTCTCGTTCGGCGATGGGAAGCCATGTGGTGAAGGCCTCGAAGGCTTGATCGCGCGTTTTGAGATTAAAGTGCCAAACGTATCTGGTTGCTGCGTCGATGAACGTGATGACGTAGTTGAAGTCGGCTTCGGTGTCTTCTCGAGGCATGTTTAAAATGTCGCTGTAGACCTTTTCCATCGGAGTGTAAGTAGGTGCGCTTGGGTTGTGATGAGATGGGAAAGGTTGATGAGGAAGATCTGCTTCGGGGCACGTGAAGCATCGTGCTCGTGGTCGTCGAAGTTCTTGGCCGCTCGTCGTTAGAAGGGCGTTGCGTTCTAACACCTCTGCTTGGATTGTTTGTAGTATCGTGCTGTTTGCAGGATGTCCGAGACGTTGGTGCCAGATGTCGTCGGAAGCGCGATGACCGGGCGAGCGATGGTAGATGTCGGCGTTGGAGAAGAACGCGACGACTGAGGCGGGACTTCGACAAACTTCTCCTGTGATGGGCATAAGCTGGTCTGCTTCGGTTGGCGGTCCTCGGGTCGCTGGTGGTGGGGCTCGGCTGGGTCCTGCTGCCGATGCTGCAGGTGATGGTTTTGTTGGGATACTTGCGGGTACTTGTCTTTCTTGTCTGATAACTGCTAATGCTCGTGTTCTCTCTGCTGCAGGTATGGTGTTGGAGTGCCAGAAGCCGTCACTGTCGAAGTCGGGATCAAGATCCGGCGGGTGAGTCCAGGCGGCGAACGATACGATACCGTCGCTGTCGGCAGTACCGCGGTCGGGGACGAAGTCCAACACGAAGACGCCGGACTTCAGGAGGGCACGACCGATGAAGAGGCCGCCCTTCCCGTGGTAAAGCCGAAACTCGTTGGAGTAGGAGTCGCACTCCAGGTGAATCCCCTTGGCCATTAGTTGGCTTACGCTTAGTAGGTTGTATCCCAGATTGTCGACAATGAGCACTTTGTTGAGCTGAAGTATGACGTTTGTCTCCATGGATTGTAACTGAACCACGCCTTGTCTGTTTGTCTTCAGGTTTTCGTTGTTGGCGACGGTGATGACGACGTCGCGGTTGAGGCGTTTCTCCTGTTGCACGAAGCGTCCCGAGGAGCACATGTGTTGACCGCAGCAGCTGTCCAAGAACCAGGTGTTTCGCCCGGTGGGTTCGGCGTTGGCGACCGCAGCATATGTTGGATTGACTTGAAGGCCTTGTGAGCGCGGTGGCGGCAGCTCTTCTTCGTCTGGCGCGTAGGTGGGTGGTGATCCGGGTGCGCAGTTGTCGATGTGTACCATGCAATTGATAATGTTTGGTGTTTGTTGTGCAGATGTTGAAGAGCGCCTTGGGGGACTTGCTTGAGTGGAGGCGACTTGTGGGTCTGCTGGACGGTAAACGCGAGGGCAGTTGCAGTTGACCTTGGAGTGCCCGGAAGTCTGGCAGTTGTGGCAGAACGGCGGCACGAAGGTAAGTCCCCTGTTGTCGCGTTCTTGCTTGCCGCGTCGATTGTAGGTGTTGTCATTTCTTCGTTGAGTGTAGAAGACTAACTGCTGTTGCTTTCTTGGTTGTCTTTCTTCGAACAGGTCCATCTCCTGTTGTTCAGCGTGAAGCTCGGCGCAGAGGTGCATCTCCGAAATCCTTCCGTGGGCGCGAAGAAGCGATCGTGTGGTTCTCCATTCTGGCCCGAGCCCGGCGAGGACAAGTGTTACAAAGCTTTCTTCAGTGATTGTTCCTCCGCACCGAAGCAGGCGGTCGCGGAGGGTCTGGCAGCGACTCATATACTGCATCGCCTTTTCCCCGGTCTTCATCTGTATTGTTGTCAGTTGTTGCATGAGTCTGCTTTATGTCACGCTGTCGTTTGCTTGGTAAAGGCACTTGAGATGGTGCCATGCGAGCTCCGCAGAGTTTCCATAGCTCCTGTATGTTCTGATGCTCTGCTGTTCTTGTGGTGACAGGTTTCTCAGGAGAACCCTATACGCCAGCAGCGACTGATACGTGAAGATTTCTTGTTCCTTTCCAGTGCCGTTGCTTGGGAATGGCAGGGACCCGTTGAAGTATCTCAGAAGATGCGCGGCCTCCATCAGCAGCTCGAACTCGAAGCTCCAGGTAAAGAAGTCGTATCCGTTGAACGGTGAGGATGTCTGCAGTTTTATCACGTGCGAGAACTGCGCCTGGAGACTTAAGATTTCGTTTGGTGTTTGTTGTGATGCAGCTGCTGTTGGTTGGGCACGGGGCGGCATAAACTCGAACGTCCCCGGTGAAGAGTGATAAGGCGCAAAGGTAGGCGCTTGATTGTGTCGCCCAAACGATGAGTTGTCGAGGCTCATCGGCGCTAATCCCATGTTTCCTCCATTGCTTTGTGTTGAATGCGCAGGTGTCCTTGTCTGCTGCTGCTGGTCGAAGTGCGACATGAAGCTGAAGAACCTTTCCATAAGATTGGGGTCCACGCTTGAAGAGGGAGATGGAGTCACCATCTCTGGTACTCTTCCCGTTGTTTCTTGAGCAGTTCCGGTCGCTGTCTGCAGTCCTGAGGTGTGCAGACCAGAGTTGCCGTGTTGAGTTTCTTGGCCGCTGGGTGAGCCCGTAGAGACTTTCTTGCCCTTGCTGTCCATGTCTTGTAATCAATGAAGTCGTTGAATTGAGTTGAGTTGCAGGTTGTTAATGGAGCGTAGTTGCTGGGAGTTTGGTCTCTGACCAGCTCTCATACCATGTTGGGCTGAGAAAAACCCTTAGGATCTTTTGCAGAGACTAAGTCCAGCTGTAGAGACTTTCAGACTTTGAGTAGTGCAGCGGAAGTTTGAGACAGTTGAACCCTTGTACTAGTATGTGAGAACAAGTGATTGATTAAAGAAACAAGCATACAGCAATATATAGAAGATAAGAAAGCAGTTGTAGAGTACAGTTACAGGAACGGTTTATCGAGTCGCACAGCGACTCGACTGCCGCTTCGGTTACCATCCGTGATGTTGTAACGGTCAGTCGCAACCTCCAGTTGCGACCTTTCGAGTCTTTTCGCATTCTTTGTCCGCCCCCTCATGTAACCTCCGTTGACTCGCGTGCTCCCTTGTAGTCTTCCTCGAGTGCAGTGTTACACTTCAGAAACGCTCAAGTCCTTTGAGATATTTCCAACACTGCCTTCCATTTTTTACTTAGACGGATTTCAAAGCACCAAATTCAAGTGGTTTCCAGGTCTGCTATTTTAGCCGCGGGCTTTAAGTAATTCTGATGGCTCAGGAATTTTTTTTAGGGGACCCTGAAAATTCAGACTTTTCTGCAGGGAGAATCCTGATGGATCAGGAAGCCTCAAAACCAATCTAGGGCCCTGATCCTAGGCCAACACTTGAGGATTTCCAAGTGTTCGTGTTTGGAGATTTTATACTTAGTCTCCTACAACACCTGTCAAATTATTACAAGGAAGTGGTGGGGTGGGGCATGCAGCAACTTATGCATCATCATACGACCGGTGCGGCCCCTTGGTGCATCCGGGGTCCATGGGGTCATTGCGCCCACAGCAATCCCAAAAGTTTTCCACCTCGCCCCACTCGGCCCTTGTTTCCTCTGAGTGGTACAGAAACTCTGTGCCCACCTTGTGGTACAAGTTTGACTGCATTGCAGAGAGGGGTAGGGGTGAAGACAGGGTGTGAGAAGGCAAGGCGGAGTGAGAAGGCAGGAGAGGAGTGCAAGGTGCAAGGCTGAAGCGCCCGCGGCAGTCACAAAAGTTCTCCACCTCGCCCCACTCGGCCCTTGTCTCCTCTGCGTGGTACAGAAACTCCGTGCCCACCTTGTGGTACAAATCTGACTGCAGCCAAGGTGGGTATGGGTATGTGCAGGGTGAAGGCAAGGGGATAGTGTAAGAAGAATGAGAGACGGGCGTTTTGTCTGGTCTGAGGGGTACAGGAATTCCCTGCCTGCCTTGTGGTGCGAGTAGGACTGCAGCAGAGGGGTGGCCCGGCGAAGGTGTGAGGTGGTGTAAACAATGTAAAGAATGATGTGCAATTGGTTATTGTCTCCTAGGACTGCACTGCAATGAAATAGTGGCACAGGAAAACATATTACCAGGTACTGCAGTGGTACTATAATACGACAGGGGGGACAAGCTAGGGAGAGTAGATAGGAGGAACAGCAGGAATGAGAAAGAGGTAAGTGGAAGATTAAGCAGGAGAGGAAGAGAGGGGCAAGATGAAAAAAAGCAATGGAGAGGGGAGGAGAAGGTGATCGAAGGAGAACGGGATATCGAGAGGCAGGTCGCACAGAAACGCAGATCCTCACCTTCCATTTCCGTTTGACCTCGCCTGGCATATGCAGATGAGCAAACACACACAGAGACACAGTCACACACACACCATGCACGCACGCACCACACACACAGGCACACACCCAGGCACACACGCAGGCACACAGGCAAGCACACACAGGGCAACAGACATCGAAGTGCATGATAAAGTCATGCAATGGCGACTCCATGGGGTGCACCGCTGATAGATGCAAGAATGTGAGAATTGGCAGATCAACGTCAAGTGGGCGATGAGAGAAGTGGTGGGTGAGGTGAAGAGACGGGGGAGACGAGTGAAAGGTGGAGCGAAGGCTGGAGAGAGGGAGCGGAGGAGAAGGGAGGAGTGCAGGGGAAGGGAGGGAGTGCAGGGGAAGGGAGGGAGTGCAGGGGAAGGGAGGGAGTGCAGGGGAAGGGAGGGAGTGCAGGGGAAGGGAGGGAGTGCAGGGGAAGGAGAGCACAGGAAGGCAGGACAGGGAAGGAGGAAGGGAGGGGGAATGACGAGAGAGAGAAGGCAAATGGAGTGACAGGCGCGGAGTGATGCACATGATGTAGACTTCATTTGCATTCCTGCACCGTTTCAAACCCTCATCCCTCCATGACATTTGAGTCGACTCAACCCTCATCTCTCCTACACTCCATAGTGATGAATTCGTTCTCAAAACATGGCTTCTATCACTCTGCCTTGCTACCATCTGCCTGAAGCATCCCCAATGCTTACCTGCAACAGAAAAAGCCCAGGCAAATGCCAATATGAACCATACCATACCACAGCCCATACCATACCACAGCCCATACCATACCACAGCCCATACCATACCACAGCCCATACCATACCACAGCCCATACCATACCACAGCCCATACCATACCACAGCCCATACTATACCACAGCCCATACTATACCACAGCCCATACTATACCACAGCCCATACTATACCACAGCCCATACTATACCACAGCCCATACTATACCACAGCCCATACCATACCACAGCCCATACTATACCACAGCCCATACTATACCACAGCCCATACTATACCACAGCCCATACTATACCACAGCCCATACCATACCACAGCCCATACTATACCACAGCCCATACTATACCACAGCCCATACTATACCACAGCCCATACTATACCACAGCCCATACTATACCACAGCCCATACCATACCACAGCCCATACTATACCACAGCCCATACTATACCACAGCCCATACTATACCACAGCCCATACTATACCACAGCCCATACTATACCACAGCCCATACTATACCACAGCCCATACTATACCACAGCCCATACTATACCACAGCCCATACTATACCACAGCCCATACTATACCACAGCCCATACTATACCACAGCCCATACTATACCACAGCCCATACTATACCACAGCCCATACCATACCACAGCCCATACTATACCACAGCCCATACTATACCACAGCCCATACTATACCACAGCCCATACCATACCACAGCCCATACTATACCACAGCCCATACTATACCACAGCCCATACTATACCACAGCCCATACCATACCACAGCCCATACTATACCACAGCCCATACTATACCACAGCCCATACTATACCACAGCCCATACTATACCACAGCCCATACTATACCACAGCCCATACCATTCCCCATACCGTTGCCCAGACGACAACCCATATCCCATACCATAACCCATACTCCAAACTATAGCTCATACTTCCCATTGAATACCCTAGGTACGGAACCATACCATACCCCATACCCCATACCATACCCCATACCATACCCCATACCCCATACCATACCCCATACAATACCCCATACCCCATACCATACCCCATATTATACTTAGCATACTTCATTCCGTACCAACTATGGCAGCCCACAGCGCACCCGTACCATACCTCCGTAGTGCGCGGGGTGGAAGGAGCATGCGGACGGGTGGTTAAGGGCGGGGTCGAACGGCTGCTTGCACTGCCGACACGTCAGCAGCACGGGCTGCACTGCTGCACTGGCGTCACTCGTGGCACTGCTGCTAGTAGCTGTCTCTGCTGCGCTGGCCTTGCATGTGTAGGCGATGCCCCGAGCTGCTGCAGGGACGAGGGGTGTGCGAGGTGCAAGTGGTGTGTGTAGGGTGCACTTAGATCGGCCCAGCCTTGCATGTGATTGCACCCCTGCAAGCTTCACATGTGTGAAGGGCGGAGGAGGGTGGGGGGGGGGGAAATCACTATTCCCTCAGCGCCGAAGGTGGCGTGAATGCACGGGAGGAAGGAGTGCAGTGTGTCATTGAGGATTCTTAAAAACAAGAAGAAGCCCGAGATTCCACTCTTTCCCACGGCATCCCACAACATTCCTACAGAGAACGGTTCACGGACACCTAACTGAGGTGGACAACGTCGTAGCACGTGAGCGTGAGTGAGCGTGAATGAACGGGAGGAAATGAGTGCGGGAAAGACCCACGACATTCTACTCTTCTCCACGGCATCCCACAGCATTCCGACAGGGAATGGTTCACTAACACCTTACTAATACGGTGGGCAACGTCATACGTGTCGCAATGCGCCGAGCTCTATTCGAAAGTCGGACGCGCGAAGCTCAACGAATCTAGTGGTAGTGCGTTGGGGTCACACCGGGCGGGCAGGTGACGCGCCGCTCTTGAGACGTGTGCGGCATGTGACGGACGAGTCGACTCGCTGCTACTCACCCGGAGAACAGGGGGCGCGCGCCGGTCGATTTGAGACGCGCGAAACGAGCGCGGCGGGAGTGGCAACGGCTCCTAAAGCCACAGGCGCCATGGCTGCTGTGGAGAAGATTACCAAGAGATACAGCTCGGGCGAGACTAATGTTGACACGAATTTCCGAAGATGCTGATGTTGGAATACGAGGGAAGACACTGAATTTCTGATGGCTTCAAGTCACAGATTCTCGACGACGGTGTGCAGCCGCCGTGGTTTTCGCAGCAAGCCTTTTTCTCGAAGTGCGCGATGCGCCTCGCGGGGACCTAGTACAAGGTCATACTTGCCGTTGAAGGTTGCGTATTCAGTTTGAACCATAGATGTTACATGCTGAACCAGGAGAGCTGCAACACTGCTCATTATTTCCATTCGTTATTTTGTGGTATCTTACACCACATATCTGTTATGCGTGTATAGAAATAAGAATAAGGCAGGTTTGTTTATATATTGCATAATAACGCATGATTTGTTGCAGCTGGGTTCAGTATCCTGAAACCACACTGTGAGGTGTACATCTTGGGATTACCTATGAGTGCACTTCATAGAAAGTCGGAACACGCCCTCGGCATGAATTCGAGGAGCTGTCTTTGCTGCAGTTTGTCTCCGCTTCGTACTAAGTAGATCTCTAGTACGGATCTAATGAATTTCCCAATCATCGTATCCTCACCTAGTGGGCTTGACCTCTCCTTTCGCGTAGTGAATTTCTCCAGAACCCCGCGCGATTCACAGGAGCCGTCCGCATAGCAGCCGCGTTCGCGATAACGGAGGAACCGCTACCCTTGTCAGTTGTTCAATCCTGCTAACAGGTTTTCTGCCTGTTGCCTACATATAATTCTTCCCATTCGAAGCAGTCGTCGCCATGGCGGCGTTCGACGCCACCACGGAGGAGGCGCTATCCTTTTGAGTCCTTCGATCAGGCTTACTAGATCTGCTGACAAAACCTGCCGACTGCTTACTGATTATCTGACTCTCAGCGAAGCGCGGTCGTCGCCATGGCTGCGTTCGACGCCATCACGGAGGAGCCGCCGCCCAGCCGCCACTGGGACGACCCGGATTTCGAGTCCTTCCCGCCAAAGCACGGCTCCGCCGCTCCGTTCCGCTTCGAAGTAGGTCCTTTCTTCGCCGTCCCCTTCTTCTCGTGACGGATATCTGCACTAGAAAGTGAGCCGTCGCCAATCCGTACTGCGGCGATGCCGAATCCGAGGCCCGTTTCCGCTCAACACGGCTCTGTCGTTCAACGCCGCTTCGAAGTAGGCTGTGATGTCTTCGTGTGTTTTTTGAGTCGATTCGAAACACGCTCTTCTGGATGCGGGATTCGAGGTGCCCGCCGCTGTCGATATCATGTCGACTCCCACATGCGACTCCCACATGCGACTCCCACATGCGACTCCCACATGCGACTCCCACATGCGACTCCCAGATGCGACCCCCAGGGGGTATTGTGATGGAAGTGTTGAGGTGCACATGATGCGGGAGTCGTGTTGTCAGGTCCAGCCGTGGGACGAGAGGCTATCTGCCAAGGCGACGGATTCTTCCCTCGTTATAGCGCACATCGTGATACTACACCTCACGATTTAGAGAATTCTAGCTCCGTCCAATCGGTCCCTGCGGTGCATTTCTTCAGTAGACTGTTACCTGCAGATTCCGTGTACGTATAAGTCTGCACATTTTTCCGCATGTGACGGCCAGACAGCGATCAGATCGATAGATCTGGACGGCAGATCTGGGCGGCTTATTGCCGCTGCTGGTCGACGGACGTCAGCCTTTGGATATTCTTTTGCTCATCTGCCGCTGTACCACCCGCCTCCCTCCCCTTATCACCCCCACTCCCCAACAACCATCAGTGGCTGTGGCATGTGTGGCCCTCCTTCCTCTCCCCTTCCATACGCTCAGTGCTGCTGCAACGCTGTTGTACCATCTCCTTTTCCTGCTGCTCTCCACTTATCTATCCTCCCCCCCTTCCCCCAACCCCTCCCACTCCCCCCCCTACCCCGCCCCCTCCCCTTCCCTCCTTGCTTCTCCCTCCTCCCCGTGCCACTCACCCCTGCTTGCATCAGTGGCTGTGGCGTGAGCCCTGTGCATCAGCGCTGTTGCAGCGCCTCTCACTCTCTCCGCCTCCCATGACCTCCGACACCATTGGCAGCAGCACCACTACTGGCAGCAGCACCACTACTGGCAGCAGCAGAGGTGATAAAGGCGTGGTTGATGGCGGTGGTGGCGGTAAGGAGGAGAGTGTATCAGTGAGGCTGCTACTGGTGGCGGCATCACCTGCCAGCGGCGACCTCATCGCCCATGCTATGGCTTCCCTGCAGGGTAATGGTGCTATCACGGTGCCTCTCTCTGACGCACATGCTGCTGCTGATGCTGCTGCCCGCGCTGCCGTGGCGGGCATTGACAATGAAAAGAATGCTGCTTTTAGGTTGGCTGCTCGGATTCACTATGGAAGCAGCAGCAATGACATCAGCAGCAGTGGCATTGATGGGAGAAGGTGAGGGACTTGGAAGAGAGAGTCTCGCAATAGGGGGTTTTCCAAGAGGGCTTTGCAAGGGAGGGTTTTGGAAGTAGGGTTTTGGAAGTCGGGTTTGAAGTAGGGTTTTGGAAGTAGTGGTTTGAAGTAGGCGTTTGGAAGTAGGGGCTTGAAGTAGGGGTTTGGAAGTAGGGGCTTGAAGTAGGCGTTTGGAAGTAGGGGCTTGAAGTAGGGGGTTGGAAGAAGGGTTTCTGGAAGTAAGGGTCTTGAGAGGGTCTGGAAACTTGTTGGGTTTCTGGTAGTGCGGGGGGTGTCGGCTGCTGCAATTCACCCCTCCAAGTGTGCTCAGTGACGCTCCAAGTATGCCCAAGGCACGTAGGGCAGAGCTCTATATGCAAGAGTACGACACACAGGTCAAGATTTTGCAGAGTTCTTTTGAGAGTTCCCAAACTTTTGCAGGGTGTTTTTTATCATTCTCAAATACACCCTGCAAAACAAGTATGACACACAGGTCAAGTTCGAATGGCTAGTGAGATCCTTCCTCCTGTCGTACGCGTTGTTGTTCCTTCATTTGTCATAGTCCCCCATTGCTATCCCCCAGTGACCACCATGCTGCCAAGTCACTATCAGATCACCCTGCCTTGTGTCTTGTTGATGTATCTTTCACATATGCCACACATGGCGATGCTCATGTGGCACATGGGCTGTGGCTGTGGGGTAGCGTTCATGGATTCGTTCGTGCATACCATGTGATGGGCGCCACGTGATGCATGGCATATGACATGTGGTGCATGGGACATGGAAAATTATCCATGGCA